TGGTTCAGCCGTTTTCAACTGATTCAACTACCAATGAACGACATTTGATTTTAATAAATATAGATTAAAAGTTGGCGTGGTCAGTTCCTCAGCGCCCAAATAAATACATAGGGCTAGATGGAAAGTCAACAGTATCTCGTGTAATAATTTTCAAACCGATATCTTCATCATTTGGCAAATATAAAGATTTAATATAAATCGAAATAGTGGGCGTAAAAGTAAGCGTGGTCAATATTTTTTGTATGTTTGTTTGTACAAACAATTATGCAAATCGGTCCAGCCGTTCTCAACTGATTCCATTACAAACGAACAACAATTGATTTTTATACCCTACACCACATAGTGGTAAGGGTATTATGTCTTTGTGCATTTGTTTGTAACATGGAGAAGGAAACGAGACAGACCCATAGTTACTTTTGAGAACCTTCATAGAATCACTGTCCATGTATTCTTGTGAACAAAATGCAGGTCGCATTTATTATCCGATTGAGATGAAATTTTCCAAACAATATTTTTTTGGCCCAAGGACGAACCCTATTGAAATTGGTGAGAATCGGATCAAATTTAGATATAGCTCCCATATATATCTTCATCCGATTTCGGGTTAAATGTGCACCAAATGTCCACTATCAGTCCAAATTACCTGAATTTTGGCACACCCAACCGAGTTCGGCCTAGAAGCAAGTATATCAAATTTGGAGAAAATCGGTTCAGATATAGCTATAGCTCCCATATATATCTTTCATCCGATTTGATCTTTAAGTCCCTCACATTCCTACTATGCACTCCACAACCGTGATATTTGGTACCAGGTATTAGATGGAGCACAGAAATAGCTGTTTTAAATTTTATCAAAATCGGTTCAGATTTGGATATAGCTCCCATATATATCTTCATCCGATTTCGGGTTAATTGACCACCAAATGGCCAATATCAGCCCAAATGGCCCGAATTTTGGCACATGTGACCGAGATTAGCCTTAAAGCAAATCTAACAAATTTGGAGAAAATCGGTTCAGAAAAGCTATAGCTCCCATATATATCTTTCATCCGATTTGGTGTTTAAGCCTCTCACATTCGTAATATGCACTCCACAAGAATGATATTTGGTACCAGATATAAGATACAGCCCAGAAATAGCTGTTTGTAATTTTATCGAAATCGGTTCAGATTTGGATATAGCTCCCATATATATCTTCATCCGATTTCGGGTTAATTGTGCATCAAATGGCCAATATCAGCCCAAATGGCATGAATTTTGGCAAATTCAACCGAAACCAGTCTGTAAGCAAGTACATCAATTTTAGTAAAATTCGGTTCAGATATAGCTATAGCACCCATATATATCTTTCATCCGATTTGGTCTTTAAGTCCCTCACATTCGTAATATGCACTCCACAGGAATGATATTTGGTACCAGATATCAGATTAAGCCCAAAAATAGTTGATTTTAATTTTATTAAAATCTGTTCCGATTTGGATATGCCTCCCATATATATCTTCATCCGATTTCGTGTTAATTGTGCATCAAATGGCCAATATCAGCCCAAATCACCTGAATTTTCGTACATAAGACCGAATTCAGTCTAGAAGCTAATACGTCAAATTTGGAGAAACCCGGTTCAGAGATAGCTATAGTTCGTAAAATGCACGATAGAATTAGATAGATTTTGATTTTGTACCAAATATCTCATAGAGCTCTGAAATGCCCTGTAAAAACCTTTTTACGAGAGCTCTACTAAATATGCATAGTGGTGTAGGGTATCATAAAGTCGGCCCCGCCCGACTTTTGAGCTTTCCTTACTGGTTTTCAATTGCGGTTATGCCAAATGGGGAACCAATAGTTAACAGTTACTGCCTGTATAGATTTAATAAAATCTTTAAATGTCAAATTACAGTTCATTCGGTAGAAATTGTAACAAAAACATGCAGAAGGATGAATGTTTAGAGATAGTATTATAATTAAATGGGACTGCATATTCCAATCATCCTACAAATCTATACCTTAAAAGAGGGAAATGTTGGTATGTTTGTTTATTTGTAATTTATGGACTCGAAAACCGCCACACAGATTTTCCTGAAAATTTCGAAGTATACTACAAAATCGCTGAAAGTAACATAGGTTATATAATTTTTTTGAAATTCCACTTGGAACTGGAAATATAGAATCAGAATCGGAGGTACCTGCCAAAAATTTAGATCTTATATGTACATATCTATTGATCGATTACTTATACAGTCTCCACATTTGGAATGCGTTATGGAATTTGGAACAAAAATTAATTTGCCAAATTATTTTAAATTCGGTTCAGAGTTGGGTATAGCTCACATATATATTTTCGACCGATAGCATGTATTGTATGCATTGAACACGCTATTTACACCACATTTCAATTAAATTTGGAATTTCTGATGGAATTTGTCTAACAAATTTGTTTGCCAAATTATTTTGAAATCAGTTCAAATTTGGATGCAGCTCCCATATAAATTATCGGACCACACACGCTATGTGTCTTTAATTTCAATTAAATTTGGTTTCTATATACAATTTATATTTCGCCCGAAAATATATATAGGAGCTATATCCAAACCTCAACTGATTTCAACATAATTTGGATGTTTATATATATATATAAAGAAATATAATTTGTCAAAATTTATTTTTGGACCAAATTACGTCACGCCTTCGATATTTCATTGAAATTGGTAGATTTTTTTTTATTAAATATAATAATATATTAAATAATCGACTGAATTTCGGCCGATTTCACATATTTGATGCAGCAAACACGATTCCAATGAAAAACGGAACAAGTGAATATCAGAATGTGTTGTTGAATAAAAATTAAAAAAAAAAGGTTTGGATATACCTCCCATATGTATTTTCGGTCGATTATTTAATATATTATTTAATATATTATTATATTTAATAAAATGAAATATCGAAGGCGTGACGTAATTTGGTCCAAAAATAAATTTTGACAAAATATATTTCTCTGTTTAATTTGGGAAATGATTGTGTTCCACAACGCCTTTGCTGTTGTATTAGGCTAACAGTTAAAAACTACATAAAAAATTAATTGACGATACGATTATTGTGGGGAAGTATGTAGCTACTTCGAATTCTCTAAAAGCAACAGAAATTCCACTCAACTTCAAAAGATTGCAGTTTCCTGCACGCTTGGCTTTTGCTATGAAATTAATAAATCCGAAGGACAAATTCTTCGTGTATGCGGACTACATTTGGCATGTCCCTGCTTTTCTCATGGACAGCTGTGCCTGGCATGTTCACGCGTTGGCAGACCAAGAGTTTTGTTTATTTACGCATTAAAGTCTTACAAAAATACGTTTTTTTAACTTTATATACCAATAAGACCGTTTGGATAATGCAGTTGTTCGTATCAAAAAACCATAAAGTGAGTGTGGCCCTTATATGGGGCCAAAACGGGAACATATATAGACAATTTTATACTTTAAGGATTGCCATCTATCAAATCTTCTAAAATACCAAATTATGTGACCAGAATTATCAAAGTACCGAATAGTTGTGGGGATCGCTATATGTGCGCTATAGGAAAACGTAGAACTAAAAAATGTGGTAAAAATCATCAAAATTCCTAATATCGGGAGGCAACGTTATATGGGGGCTATACTAAAACGTGGACCCATATATACTATGTTCCACCACCGGTGCTAGAACCCATTACGAACCACAAATACAAATTTTTAGTCAAATGTGTGGAAAGTTGTCTCGGGAAATGCCCTTTTATGGGGGCAGTACAAAACCATGGATCTATACAAACAATGTTTAGTCACCGGAGTTAGAACCCGTTACGATCTACAAATACCAATTTTTAGACAAATCCGTGAAAATAATATGGCGAAAATCATCAAAATACCGAATTTCGGGAGGTACCGTTATATGGGGGCTATACCAAAACGTGGACCTATATATACAGTGCTTCGCCACACGAGCTAGAAACCATTATAACCTACACATACAATTATTTAGACAAATCCGCGCTAAAATGTGGCGAAAATCATTAAAATACCGAATATCGGGATATACCGTTATATGAGGGCTATACCAAAACGTAGACCCATATATACCACATTCCACCACCGGAGCTAGAACCCATTATGAACTACAAATACTAAATACCAACTATCCTAGACACAATACAAATTGTTCTGCTGAATTTTGACGCACTACGTCAAATAATGTGGACTGTATCGTGATTTCAACAGACAGACGAAGACACGGACATCGTTAAATCGACTTAGAAATTTATGCTGATTTTGAATATATATACTTTATGGGATGTTAGGGATGTAACAAATGGAATGACGCTCCTTTCCAGGTGGAGGATATAAAAAACATACATGTTTGTGACATATTATACAAGTTCTCGGTCGAGACCCTGCATTGGCATAGAACGGTTCTAAGTTAGAATGTTTTAGTCCAAAGATCTTTATTGGTGTCGATATCACCCTATAATGTCTTTTGGCTGCTTGGTCCGTTTCCTCTTATGTCAGGCCTACCAGTCGATTCCACGGCTGTGCTAACTTTTTCAATGTTGGGGCTCACTTCGTCCACTCGGTCGAAGGATTCTTGCTACAGTCTCCTTTGCGAGGTCCCTAACTGGGTTTGCCCGGAGTATCTGAAGATGGGAAGGCCCTTTTCTCGGCGGCTTCGCAATTTTCTGCTCCTCAGTAGACCAAATCCCCTTCCCCGCCTCCAATGGAGTGGTTGGATTATTCATAGCCCCTTTAGAACATCCTTCAACTTTGCAATTTTTACAGCCTGTTGCTTTCTGAATTTTCACTGTTGAGCCCCTGACAGTTTTTTTCGTATTTGTTTTACTTTTACTTGAAAAAATACTTTTAATACTTTTTCCTTTTTTCTTTGTGTTTGTCGTGGGAGAAATATATTTACATCCATTTTCAGATTTGCTAATACATATATTTTTTTTTGTACTTTTTATCTTTCTCCATACACAGCCAATATATTTTTCGATGATGCTTTCGTATTGGATGAAAAATATGTAGAAAATCCCAAAAACCCCCCACTCAATGAATATGTGAAACTACTGATTACCAGCATCGACAAGGCTGCGTTCGAAGTGTACGGTGTTAACATTAAGATCAAGCCACCCGTAAAAATTGAAACACCTTACGGCGGTCGCTTAGTATGGACACTGCCCGGGCGTAGCAAAATGATTGCTCATCTGAAAAACAAGGACAAAATTCGTCACAAAAAACGCTGGTCCCAAGTCATGTACATGTACTACTTGTTGGGCTTTCGTATAATGGAATTGGAAAATGTGTCAGCGAAGCGTAAAGCTGTTATAGCAGAAAACACTTTTTTATTAGCTCTCGATGGTGACATTGATTTTCAGCCACAGGCTGTACAGTTGCTGATAGATCGCATGAAGGCTATCGATGAATTGGGAGCTGCCTGTGGTCGCATTCATCCAGTAGGCAGGGGACCGATGGTTTGGTATCAAATCTTCGAATATGCCATTGGTATGTATTAATATTTAATTAAAATAGATGCTCAGAAAGGAGCGTGTTTCAACGTTTAAACTCAATTGATAGAAAGAAATAAACTTCTTAAAATATAAATAGAAATACACAATTAATTGAATTTATCAGGAAAATCAAAATATCATTTATTTATTTTTTTTTAATAAAATCTTATTTATTTTAATTATTTTATGTAGGTCACTGGCTGCAAAAGGCTACTGAACACGTTATTGGCTGCGTTCTCTGTAGTCCTGGTTGCTTTAGTTTGTTTCGGGGCAGTGCTTTGATGGAAAACAGCGTCATGAAGAAATACACTACAGTATCACAAGAGCCGATGCATTACGTTCAATATGATCAAGGGGAAGATCGATGGCTCTGTACGCTCATTCTTAAGCAAGGTCTGCGTGTCGAATATTCTGCTGCCTCGGATGCCTATACCCACTCACCAGAAATTTTCAACGAATTTTATAATCAACGTCGTCGCTGGGTGCCCTCTACGATCGCAAATATTTTTGATTTGCTTTCTGATGCAGAAATGGTTGTAAAGAATAACAGTTCCATATCGAGACCATATATTTTTTATCAAGCCATGCTAATGGTGGGAACCATACTCGGCCCCGGCACCATATTTCTCATGATGATCGGATCATTCGTTACGGTGTTCAGTACAGGAATTTGGACATCATTTTTATGGAATTTTATTCCATTATTAGCATTTATTTTGTCGTGTATTTATTTAAAACAAAAATATCAGGTACAAGCTTTCGGAAGTTATTGTGATTAATTTGATATTGATTTTAAATTTTATAGCTCTTGTTGGCGTTTGTCATAAGTGCCGTATATTGCTTAGTAATGATGGCTGTACTGATCGGTATTATTATACAAATGATAGATGATGGACCCTTGGCACCAGCTTCCTTATTTTTCCTTTTGGTATTTTTGCAAATTTTCATTGCAGGTAAGTTTCTTGTATTTAATAATTATAATTCATGGTAAGACATTTATTCCGCTGAGCTGATCTGGACAATTCTTTGGACAAGGATCTATAAGTTGGTTTTTTTCATAACTTTGTAATAACATCGTTGCGCGATAACGTTCATCGAGCTGAGTCGATCTAGCTATGTGTGTTTTGTCCATGTTATCGCGAAATTTTGCATGTGGTCAGGATAGCATTTTTGGGATAAAGATACAACATTTTCCTGAATTTCTAATAGTTTCATATGTTACAATTATAGTCCGACCATCGCGATGTTCTGTACAAACTTTGAATTTAAATCGTATCGGAGATAAAATGCCAATTTTTGGTCTAATAATATTTAGTGGGTTAAATTAACCATAAATTTTGTATTGTTTGAACAAGAACAAATTCGTATTCAATCGTAAATAATTTTATAGCTGAAATCAACGTGTCTTGAATTTTCATTAGCACAAAAATACGCTAATCAAAAACAAGTAAAAAAGGTGTAAGTTCGGCCGGGCCGAACTTTGAATACCCTTCACCATTCGGAAATTTAAAAAAACCGTTAAAAATTCTGTTAAAATATTAAAAATACTGAATGTAGCCGTTATATTAGGATCTATACGACGACGTGGACCTGCATAGGCATTACAATATTCAAATGCGAAACTTGAAAGAAAACGGTGAATAGTGTAGCTAAAATCACCAAAATACCGAATATAGGGGGGTATGATTTTATGGGGGCTATACTAAAATGTGGACCTGCACAGCCAATTTTCTATCATAGGCTGTAGTATCCATCACGAACTTCAAATTTGAAAAAATTACGGTGAATCATATCGCTAAAATCATAAAAATGCCAACTATCGGGAGATGCCGTTATATGGGGCTCTACGTTAAACGTGGACCTGCAGAGACAATTTTCTGTCGTTGTATGTAGGCTATACGATATTTTGAGCCGTGGTATTTATGATATTTATCTTCCGTGGAGTAAAGTACTCAGAAAAAAACTCCCAGTGCAGATTTTCAGGCAATTCCGTTGGAAAATGTGGCTAAAATGATCAAAATACCGAATATGGGGGGGGGGTTACGGTTGTATGGGTATATACGATATCGTGGACCTATATAAACATACACCTACTCTATGTCTGGATTTTCAGACTGTTCCATTGGAAAATGTGACTAAAATCGTCAAAATACCGAATATCTCGGGGTACCATTGGATGGTCCTATATCGTGGACCTATATTAACAATTCTCTTCCAGAGGGTAAAGTACTCGAAAGGAACTCCTTGTGTGGATTTTCATACAAGTCCATTAGAAAATGTGGCTAAAATCACCAAAATACCGAATATAGAGGGTGCCGTTGTATGGGGACTATACGATATCGTGGACCTACATAAGCAATTATCATCCAGAGAGTAAAGTGCACAGAAAGAACTCCTTGTGTGGATTTTCAGTTAATTCCATTGGAAAATGTGGCTAAAATCATCAAAATACCGAATATGGGAGGAGGGGGGTACCGTTGTATGGGGGTTATGCGATATCGTGACCGATATTGCCCATCTTCGAACTTGACCTGCCTGCAGACAAAAGACTGATCTGTGCAAAAGTTTAGCTTCCTATCTTTATTCGTTTTGACTCTAGCGTGATTACAACAGTCGTACAAACGGACATGGCTAAGTCGTCTTAGAATTTTACGCTGATCAAGAATATATATACTTTGTTATGTATAAAATGATTATTTCGCTGAGTTACAAGCGGAATGACGAACTTAATATACCCACCACTACTACTACTATGTATGGTGGAGGGTATAAAACATTCAAAATATTTATGAAATAATAATACATTCTATCAACTTTTTGCACCTTTTAATTACTCTACTCTGTTTTCAAGATTAACGGTTGGGATGGTTTAGTCGACTTGCAATAATACCATTGAAACCACATTCGTATGCAATTCACATCCAAATTATAATTTTTTATTTCTCAAACAAACATTTGGATTCCACACATAAAAAAAAAACAAGATTTGGGTACAATAAATTTAACATCATTAAATAATTTCTCTCTTTCTCTCTCTCTCTCTACCTATTACAACTAGAAAACTTTAATTAGCATTAGTTCAACTGGCATTGTTGTGTGTACCACAGAATATTTCATTTTGGAACATACACACACCGGAAAGTAATCAATAAATAATATTCATTTTCAGGAATTATGCATCCACAAGAAGCTGGAGCTCTCGTTTGCGGCTTAATTTACTACATAACCATTCCGTCCATGTACATGCTATTACTTATCTATTCCGTATTCAATATGAATGATGTATCATGGGGGACACGTGAGGTGGCTCCTAAAAAGGTAAGACAATTGATTGGTAATACGAAAGTACATTCGATTGATTGTGCACTCCAAGCCGAATTCGGTATTAAATTGTTAAGTTATTCATTCGTGGAAAAATTAATTAAGAATGGTAACAGCAAATACAGTCCTTGAATTTATATATCCTTTTGTCATGCCTCTCTGCCTGTGGAAGTCAAAATAGAGGCCATGTTGATTGTAACACCACCTCATAATTTTCGATGTTTGGTAATTTTCAACTGAATGAACTGTAATACAACATTGAATAAAAGTCCATTATTTGTTATATCTCCCACAGCACTCTGAAATTTTAAGTATTTTGTAGGTTTTAGAACTTCATGCCGTTTTTTGTTTGTTTGGTTAATAAAACGTATGCTATTACTTTTACAGGACGACGAAAGCACTGTACAGGATGAAGAAAGTTCAGGAAAAGAATATTTACCGGGTTGGATAAATGATCCCCTACTAGTTGACTCGCAGTTGGGCGAGATATCGTTGCGCGAGAAACGCTTCTGGAAGGACTTAATTAAATTATATTTAAAGCCTATGTTTCACACAAAGGAGAAAAAGGCTGAGATTGCTGATAGCCTTCGTGAACTGCGTAATATGTTTGCATTTGCTTTTGTCATGATTAACGCAATTTTTGTTCTAATCGTTTTCTTGCTGCAACTAAAGAAGGACTATTTGCATCTGGAATGGCCCATTGATCCGGAGGATTTTATAACATATGATGCAGATAATTCACAAATCTATATATATCGACGTTACAAACATCTGGATCCCATTGGCTTTTGTTTTGTCATTTTCTTTGGCATCATTCTTATTATTCAGTTCATTGCAATGTTCTTCCATCGCTTTGCCACCATATCACAGCTTTTGGCCACAACCAAATTGGATTGGCTGAGAGCATCAAGTACGGTAAGATACACTATACTTTTATTTAGTTCTGTTCTGCTTTTGCCTCTTTTTTTGCATATTTAACTATGGCAAATAAAATGTTAAATACCACAACTTTTGACTTAAGGAGCATCGAATATACATAGTTACGATTTCATGTAAAACATCCAATACCTTTAATATAAAACAAAATTTTGAGTATCCAAAGAAAGAGTTTAACGAAAAAGGTTTTTCTATGAATCCAGATTTAATATTTATACCCTCCTCCATTCTATGGAGGGTATATTAACTTTGTCATTCCGTTTAGGTAATCCCTTTTGTAACTCCTCGAAATATTGATAAAAGACCCTACAAAGCATATTTATTCTGGATCAACGGATAAAATTCGATCAGTGGATAAAATTCTAAGACGATCTGGCGGTGTCCGTCTGTCTGATGTAATCACTTCGAACGTATTGACATAGATGGCTAAAATTTTGAATACATGCATAGGTTACCAGTAGGCAAGCTAAGTTCTTAAATGGGCAATATCGGTCCACGTTTTCGTATAGCCTCCATATAACTGTACCTCCCGATATTCGGTATTTTCATGATATCAGCGACATTATATACCTGATTCGTATTTGAAGTTCGTGTTGGGTAGTAGAGCCTATGACAAACATTTTTGTATGCAGGTTCACGTCTTCGTTTAGCCCCTATATAACGGTAGTTCCCGATATTCGGTATTTTGAAGATTTCAGCAACATAAAGATTACTCAACCTAAGGAAAAAATCGTATGCAGGTCCAAGTCTTCGTATAGCCCCTATATAAGGGTACCTCCCGATATTCGGTATTTTCTTTTTTTAACGAAATTATTTCAAATTTCGTATTTGAAGTTCGTAATGGGTTCTACAGCCTATGACAACAATTTGTATATGCAGATCCACCATATTTTTATGATTAGTGCGACATTATTCACCGAAATAGTAACAAATTTCGTGTTTAAAGTTGGCATTTGGCAATACGGCCTATGACAAAAATATCGTATCTAGGTTAACGTTTTCCTACATTCCCCATATAACGGTACACCCCTATATTCGGTATTTTGATGATTTTATCGACATTATTCACCGGAAATGTTTCAAATTTGCTATTTGAAGTTCGTAAAGGTACAGCCTATGACAAAAAATTTTGTAAGCAGGTCCTCGTATAATCTTCCAAATGTTGGAGGGTATTAAAAGTTCGGCCCAGCCGAACTTAGCTACTTTTTTAGTAGTTACTTGTTTACTTGTTCATTTTGAAAGCTGGATGTTATCAATGAAATATTTTGAAACCAGTAAAGAAAGGTCAAAACTGGGGCATGCTGGCTTTATGATACCCTACACCACTATGCATATTTAGTAGATCTACCCGTAAAAAATAAACGTTTATATAGGGAATTTATGTGAAGCAGATCATACGAACAACAATCGGGTTTGTATGCGTATTTTGGCTTGAGAGCACTTATGTATGGAATCGAATAGAACTAATATAGGGGAGAGAGGAGGCATTTATGTCTGAACTGATTTTCACACAAACTGTCCTATTTGAGCTGATATTACAATTTTGGTGTAAACGGAAATCGGATCAAGATATATATAGGAGCTATATCCAAATCTGAACCGATCTCTGTAAAGTTTATCAGAAGTGTTTTTATGCTGTATCGGATACAGGCACCAAATATCGTAGTTGTACGGATGTGAGGGACTTACACATAAAGCAATATCAGAACCGTTTTTCATAAAAATTTCAATCAATATTAACAATTGTTCTTCTGACAATAATGATATCCTATTTTAAGAGAACATTGCTTGTAGCAATGTGATTCGACATACCTTGTGGACGGTTACTGTGCAACTCCTGCTTTCAATTTTTGGAACAATTTTATAATATTTACTAGCTGAACCCGGTGCGCATCGCAAAACCTTTTGATTTTATATGCGTTCAAAATTTTATATACGAATATTTGTTGGTTTAAAAAAAATAAGACAAATTCAAAAATTTAAAAAACGTAATTATTGTAATACCTTAATGCGTAAGCAAACAAATAGCTCGGTCTACACACTAGTGAACATGCCAGGAGCAGCTGACCATGAGAAAAGCAGGAACATGCCAAATTTAGTCCCTATACACGATAGGTTCGTCCTTCGGATTTATTAATTTCATAGGAAATGCCAAGCCTGCATGAAACTGCAATATTTTGAAGTTGAGTGGCATTTCTATTGAAATTAAAGAATTAGAGATAACAAAATACTTTCCCATAATAATCGTATCCTCAATTAAATTGTTGAGTAGTACCGTGTTTGGTGCATCAAATATGTGAAATCAACCGAAAATACATATGGGAGCTATATCCAAATCTGAACCAATTTCAAAATAATTTAGCAAACATATTTTCTGATCAAATCCCGTAACTCATTCCACTTTTGGAGACTGTATCTGTAATTTATCAATAGATATGTGCATATAAAATTCAATTTTTGGGAGGTACCTCCGGTTCTGTTGCTATATCTCCATTTCCAAGTGGAATTTCAAAAATTTATATAGCCTATGTTACTTTCAGGCAATGTTGTAGTATACTTGGAAATTTTCAGGAAAATCTGTGCAGCGGTTTTCGAGTCCATAAATTACAAACAAACAAACAACCATACAAAAATGTCCCTTTTTCGAAGATATTGATATTCAATTTAATTAAATTAGATTACATTTAATTTTGCGACTCATTTTTGACTTCTTCATCCCCTTGCACAACATAGCAACCAACTAGTGAGTTACGCTGTTGCATATCAACTTTAGGAGGCTCGTCGTCGTCGGCATTCTGTATGAATAAATTTGACGTTTTTTATACCCTCCACCATACATAGTATGGAGGGTATATTAAGTTCGTCATTCCGTTTGTAACTCATCGAAATAATCATTTTAGACCCAACAAAGTATATATATTCTTGATCAGCGTAAAATTCTAAGACAACTTAGCCCTGTCCGTCCGTCGGTCCGTCTGTCCGTCTGTTGTAATCACGCTACAGTTTAGACGAATTAAGATAGGAAGCTAAAATTTTGCACAGATCTCTCTTTTGTCTGCAGGCAGATCATGTTCGAAGATGGGCTATATCGGTCCATATACCCCCATATAACGGCACCCTCCGACATTCGGTGTTTTGATGATGTTAGTCACATTTTTCAACGGAATTGTCTGAAAATCCATACAAGCAGTTCCTTATGGGTACTTTATACCTCGGAAGAGAATTATCCATATCGATCCACGATACCGTATATCCCCCATATAACGGTACCCCCGATATTCGGTATTTTGATAACTTTACCCACATTTTTCAACTGATTTGTCTGAAAATCCACACAAGGAGTTCTTTGTGTGTACTTTATACCTCGGGAGAGAATTATCTATATAGGTCCACGATATCGTATAGCCCCCATATAACGGTACCCCCGGGTATTCGGTATTTTGACGATTTTAGCCACATTTTTCAATGGAAGTGTCTGAAATTCCACAAAATTAGTCCTTTGTGAGTATTCTACCCTCTGAAAAAAAATGTCTATATAGGTCCACGAAATGGTATATCCCCCATATAACTGTACTCCCCGATATTCGGCGTTTTGATGATGTTAGCCACATTTTTTAACGGAATTGTCTGAAAATCCATACAAGGAGTTCCTTGGGTAGTTTATACCTCGGAAGAGAATTATCTATATCAGTCCACGATATCGTATATCCCCCATATAACGGTACCCCCGATATTCGATATTTTGATAACTCTACCGACATTTTTCAACGGAATTGTCTGAAAATCCACACATGGAGTTCCTTGTGGGTACTTTATATCTCAGCAGAGAATTATCTATATAGGTACACGATATCGTATATCCCCAATATAACGGTACCCTCGATATTCGGTATTTTCAATGGTGTACAAAGCAAAAGTTATTCTTACAGTACAGGTTTCTAAAAATTTGTACGTTTTTCTATTTGATTCCGATCATCTCCAAAAGCTAAAGGCCCCTCTGTATCTCCAAAATTAGACTAATCTATATGATTTGCTTGTTTACGATATTTGGCTATATTCGTCAACGAAATGAGCATAAAAAAGCCAGCAGTTCGCCTTTTGTGTATTTCGGATGTCTCCTGTAAGTGATGTCGGTATTTTCTCACACAGAAGTAGTGGTCCATTCTACCCGCTGTTCTAACCTCTAACTTCATTCGAGATTTCGTGTCCTTTGTTTTATATTTGTGACCTTTATAACGGCTGCAAAATAAGGAACATTTTTAGTTGTTGGTCCATTTAAACCATAAATATATTGCGGACATCTTGGAAAACAATAGTCCTATCCCTTCCGAGCCTAACCCGACCGTAGTGAAAATTTTCGTTTGCGTCGGAAAATAATTGCAATCTGTATATAATAACCTGTGTTGTAAGGTGAAAAAATATTACAAAATATACACTTCAATATTGTTAGTCAAATTGAAAAAATCGCATGCGATAAAAAATATGAAAAAATAAAAAAATTTCACACAATACTACAAAATCTATATTAACATGATTATTGGCATCTTTTATGCGATTTTTTTAGATTTTATACTTTTATGCCAAGAAAGCATTCTGAATTGACAAAATTTGTCAAAATCGGTCCAGCAATTCTTGTGATATAAGCATTCTAGCTAATGTCCCCTTCCTTTGTATATATACACTGTATATATTTCGCTATATATATCCGATATATTTACTATCGGCATCGCCGGGATTAAAAATATTCGCGGTTTAATGGAAAATTTGACTTTTATTAATCAAAAATGTTATGGTCAATTTCACCCACAAAATATTACCCGATGACCATCAAAATTGGAAGACTTCTGTCCAGCCCTAAGCTCTAGACCCATGCTAACTTCCGCGTCGATTGGTCTATAATTGCGTCCTGTAGAGCAACTGCAAAATCAGGAAATTTTTCAGTTTTTGGTCCATTTCAACCCTCAAATATGCGATCATCTCCATCTGTTCTGGGTCCTCACCTCCATTCTAAATTTCGTGAAGACCGGGCCATAAATGCAACCTGACAAGTGATTACAAATTAACATAAACAGACGGACGGACGGACGGACATACATAGCTAGATCGACTCAGCTCGGCGAGATAGGGAGACCCATATACACTTTCCTATGTGGGAAACCAATATTTCTAGGTGTTACATAATTTTTGGCCCAATCAAATTTATAATTTTTAAGATTTTTTTCACAGTTTGCAGGATGATATAAGATGGAATTAAAAATCCCATCTTCACACTAGCATCGCATTCTATTAAACCATAGACTAATGAAAATATAAACGACAGATTGTTAGTTTTGTCTTTTTATGCTGCTGACTTTCAGTTCGCCATAATCGACATGTTGATTGAACCAGTTGACCTACTCAACTTTGAAAACACGTTATATCGTTTTTCGAGAATCGATGTGACATATTTTAAAAGTATCAAATGATATATATACCCTCATATCTATGGGTACAAATAGGTGTTGCGTTCATATTTCTTAAAAGTGTTTACAATTCCTTTTTAATATTTCTCCAAATGATTTTCTGAAGTTTAAATAAATCTCATATTCCAATAGAACAGTTATAACAAATAATTGACCCTAATGTCATTTTCTTCTTTTGGTGAAACATAATCTGAAAAATAACTTGATATCTCTGTTGTTGAATTCACCTTTTATTTTTATCCGCAGATAACAGACGAGGATGCTGCACAGGAAATTCGAGGGAATGCAGTGCACATTGCACGTCAACTGCAACGACCAAAACGTCTTGATGACGAGGATGAAGAAGATAGTGGTAATGGCAGTAAAACCAACGACTGGGATGATGATGATGTGGGGAATCACATGACTCGACGTTCAACAGTATTCAAGTTGCATGAAAATCGTAATAAGAACCAATACGATTACAGTGATTTGCCACGGAATTTTGAGCGTCGATTTTTGGGCGAAGGTATGTTCATAGCATGAAAAAAGACGATCTCTTTTTTTTTTTCTTTTTTTTTTTGGTATATGCCATTGGAAGTGAATGTGCAATTGGTGGCTAAGTTTGAATTTACTTAACTTTTGTTATACTTCCAGATGATATCAGCGTCAAACATATATCCATGAGTCGCAAATCGTTGATGCTCCTTAATGAGACACGTTTTGTAGCTAAACGACGTCTAACACAGCAAACACATCGCAATACGGTTATGAATAGAAATCCTATGCATGGATTTGACAACGATGCCTTTGAAAGTTCGAACTGAGAAAAGTTGTAATATGGAAAAGAACCTGAATAAACATATCTGAAAATATGTAAATATAACACAATATTATTGCAAATGTTTGGCAGAAAAATTTTAATTTGATTTTTATCTTTACAAGGGAGTTGTATTTAACTACTAGATATGTGCAGGAGCTGATATCGTATTCTACGAAAATGTGAAGTAATATATTTAATAAAGGAAATTAATTTCAAATGAAAATTTTTATATACAAAATATTTTTCATTTCATGGAAAAGGATCCTGGATATAGTCTGATTGTTTTTTGTCACTTCAGTATATTTCCAGGAAAATGAATTTGAGTACCAAAATTATTCATGGATGAAAATATTTTCAGATTCAAACTTCTGCCGGGACAAATCTTTCGCATTCGATATCAAAAACATTATGATCGAAATTAATTTTAATATATGAATTTTAGCTTGATTGAATCGAGAATTCGAATACAGAAGTCTTTTCGATTCGAAATTTATTCGTTATCGAATGCAAGTATTTTGCCCCTGTCCTAAAGTCTTTCTTTATTCAAAATTTCGTGCCGACTGATCTATAATTGTGACCTGTAGAGTGACTGCAAAATCAGGAAATGTTTGCGTTTTTGGTGCATTTCGTCCCCTAAATATTTTGCGAACATGTCCAAATATAATAATCTTATATTCTGGCCCATGAGGAGTATTGGTAGATAATTGCGACCCGCAAAGTGATTACTTTGGCAAATAAATGGACTAACCACTTGATTTGGATTAAATTTTTCATATCCATTACTTACAAATCCATTACAAATAAATGCTCTTACAGTAGGTTTACCCTGCAAACAGATCTAACGTAAACATGGCATTAGGGTGCGACGGCAGTTCGGAAACTTTTTAGCCTAGCAGAAAAAGCGCGGTATAAACTGGAAACTTCCATCTCTGTTATGAACACATGTTAATTTTTGTTTCGACCTGGCAACTCCTCCATATAGAACCAGGTGTTCAAGAAAGACGCATACGCAATATTTTTACAATGGAAAAATTAGAAATGCGTGCTGCCAGTAAATATTTACAACATAAACAAGTTTAAAAGTATCTGTCGGTTTTGCCGACAGATGTATACCCTCAGCCAATGTACGTTTATTTTAAAATATTTTGACTTCTGTTATGATTATTCAAATGTTTAACCCCTTATGAAGTAGGTTCCGAAGGAATGTGCCAATATTGGCCATTTCGTATCGGACCTAAATATATATGATATAAATATTGCGACGTGCCAGTATTGGTAACTTCCTTCACTTTACATGACATATATGATATTTTTTAGAAAATGTTAACATGTGCGTGAGGTTCCGGATATAGTCGACCGAAGTATTCAATTTCCATACTTCATCTAATACATATAAAAACATTGGTATGGGCAATTATACAAGAAAATCGAATATTTATATCCAATTCATATTCATCTCAGGCTTTTGCAAAGAGAGATATATTTAGATATAGCAAATTGTAAAGAGTCGCCGACTTGTTTCGCAAATTATGACGAATAAAAGATATTAAGATATTTTCATAATCTTGAACCCCATGTGAGGCAGGTAGCAAAAGAAATGGTCCGATCTCTACCATCTGTATAACAGATCTTGTGTTGATGGAAATATTGAGATATACCAAGCCTTGAATGGAATCGGATGTTAATTTCGCTGTTTTTATTTCGGATTTTGTAAACGTTTTGGTTATTCAAAACTTTGACCCTTTATGGGGAAGGTACCAGAAGAAATGGTTCGATATCTACCGTTTTTATAACAGATCCTGAGTTGATAGAAATATTCAGGTGTGCCAAGTCAAAATGGAATCGGATGTTAATTTCGTCTTTTATGAGCTTAGGGGATATTCAAAATTTCGACCTTTTGTGGGGGAGGTACCAGAAGGAGTGGACTGATATATCACATCTTAAAACCAGATATTGGGTTTAAAAAATATGGGGTACGTGAAATTTTAAGACAATCGGTTTCTTACATCGCATTTTTTTGGAACAAAATTGGACTATTACTTCTCTCTGTGCATAATTTTTTTTTTTTTTTTTTTTTTTGAAAATTTCGACCTTTTTCGGGGAGTTGCCAGAAGGAGTGAACCGATCGGTCTCTTACATCACATATTATAAGAGTTGTAATTATTCAAAATTTTAACCCTCTGTGGGGGAGGTCCCTGATGGAGTGGACTAATATTATCCATTTTCGCACCTGACTTAGCACTGATGTAAATATTAGGATTCGAAAAGTTCGAAAAGTCGGTTTATCCTTTCTCTTTCTGTGCAACTAATTATTTTCTGCCCATCTCCGAACTCGATCTAAGATTGAAAATAATATTACGATGTATGTGTGCACCAGCCAGCCAGACAGGCAGACGGATCCAAATTTTCTGAAACGGATATGGTCCAAAGAGACCTGGGGTTATTATGAGGCACGTTATCGTTATTTCGATGAGGCACGTTTTGGCCGTACCAAATGATATATATATATATGGTTGAGGATATAAAAAGGTTTAGCGGACAAGAAATTCACAATGATATGGTGAATGTGTTAGGTGAAGGTGCTCCTTTATAGGCAACAGAAAAAATTGGGTTGCTGAATTTGAACGTGGTCGTACAAGCATAGAAGATGAACCAGGTAGTGGACGATTCACTGCGAATCTGTGCTTCGGAGTTTTTAATATATACTATACAAGGAAAATTTTCTACCCACCAGATTTTGATCCCAGTTTTTTATACCTTCCACTCTTGTAAAGATATGTCTTTTAAGGCATATTTATTCTCCAGTATTCGAGGGGTAGGCGTCACTTCTCTCACTAGGAACACACAATCCCATTTTCACAAGATTTTATAAAAAAAATGTGACTAAAATCATCAAAATGCCGAATATAGGGAGGATGTGATGGAAAATTTGGTCTGCAGCAAGGGTTTTTAAGAAATTTCGTTTGAAAATGTGAAAAATATCGTTATATGGGGCTATAAGAACACATGAATCAATGTACACAATGTTCTGCCACAGGCAGTAGGCAGGTAAGTTTATTTTTCAGTAGGCAGGTTAAGTTCGTAAATGGGCCATGTAGGTCCACGTTTTCATATAGCCCCATATAACGGTACCTCCCTATATTCGTTTTTTGATGATTTTAGCGACATTATTCACCGGAATTGTTTCAAATTTGGTATCTGAAGTTCCAAATGGATACTACACCCTAAGATAGAAAATTGTCTGTGCAAGTCCATGTCTTCGTATAGCCCCCATATAACGGTACCTCCCGATATTCGGCATTTTTTAGATTTTAGCGACCTTTTTCCCGGAAGTAATTTAAAATTTCGTATTTGAATTTCAAATGGATACTACACCCTAAGATAGAAAATTGTTTCAAAATTGGTATTTGAAGTTCGTTATGAGAACTACAGTCTGTGACAGGAAATTGTCTATTCGGGTCTAGGTCTTCGTATAGGCCCCATATATCAGTATCTCCCTATATTCGGTATTTTGATGATTACGGCTATATTCGGTATTTTTAAAATTATAACAGAATTTTTTAAGGATTTTATTTTTTGAAAATTTCCAAATTCGTTGCAAATGGTGGAGGGTATTAAAAGTGCCCGGCCGGACTTACTGCTTTTTAACTTGTTTTCCAAGTAGTTGGAAACTGAGGCTAAAATAATCAAAATGCCGAAAATATGAATGTACCGTTATATAGGGGCTATAGGAAAACGTGGACCTATATAGACCCTTTTCTGCCACCGGTTAAAATTCTCTAAATGTCGAATATCAGGAGGTGCAGTAACGAAAGGGGGCTATACGAAAGCATTGGCTTACATTGACAACGAAACTTGTTCGTGAGAAGGATTACTCAAAGAGTTAGAGTTTTTTATGGAGTCTACTCTTTTGTTTTGTGTGGAAGCATTCCTGGGTCACTCCTGTTTAAAAAATTCGAGTGGGAGCAGAATCACTCAAAATAGATTAAAAACTGGTTATAACAAGTAAAAATGCAGTAAGTTCAGCCGGGCCGGCCCTCCACCCTCCAAATTTTCAAAAAAAATAAAATAAAATTCATTAAAAATTCTTTTAAAATCTTTAAAATATCTAATATAGGAAGGTGCCGTTATATGGGGGGATATACGATATTTTGGACCTATAAAGACAAATCTATGTCTGCGTGTAAAGTACTCACAAGGAACTCCTTGTGTGGATTTTCAGATAATTCCATTGGAAAAAGTGGCTAAAATCATCAAAATACCGAATATAGGGGAGTACCGTTATATGGGGGATATACGATATTGTGGACCTATATAGACAATTCCGTTTCAGGGGTAAAGTGCTCACAAAGAACTCCGTGTGTGGATTTTCAGACAATACGATTGGTAAATGTGGCTAAAATCATCAAAATAAAGAATATCATGGGGTATATTTATATGGGAGCTATACGTTATCGTTAACCTATATAGAGAATTCTCTGTCGAGGGGTAAAGTGCTCACAAATAACCCCTTGTGTACAAAGAACCCCTTGTGACCATTCCGTTGAAAAATATGGCTAAACACATCAAAATACCGAATATCGGGGGTACCGTTATATGGGGGATATACGATATCGGCGACCTGTATAGACAATTCTCTCTCAGGGGGTGAAGTACTCACAAGGAACTACTTGTGTGGATTTTTTTTTGAGGGGGTAAAATGTCCACAAGGGACTCCTTTTGTGGAATTTCAGACAATTCCATTGAAAATGTGGCTAAAATCATCAAAATACCGAATATCGTAGGGTACCGTTATATGGGGGCTATACGATATTGTAGACCTATATAGATAATTCTCTGCCGAGGTATTAAGTACTCACAGGGAACTACTTGTATGGATTTTCAGACAATTCCATTGAAAAATGTGGCTAACATCATCAAAATACCGAATATCGGGGGTACAGTTATATGAGGGATATACGATATCGTGGACCTATATAGATAATTCTCTGTCGAGGTATAAAGTACCCACAAGGAACTCCTTGTGTAGATTTTCAGACAATTCCGATGAAAAATGTGGATAAAATCATCAAAATACCGAATATCGGGGGGTACAGTTATATGGGGGATATACGATATCGGCGACCTGTATAGACAATTCTCTCTCAGGGGGTGAAGTACTCACAAGGAACTACTTGTGTGGATTTTTTTTTGAGGGGGTAAA